ACAATCATTAGTCAATTGTGAGGGGTAGAATGTAGGCCAAAAAGATTTTTCGTGTCATCTGAAAAACTGGGATTCAACACCAGAGAGAAGCAAGCAAAACTCACAGGATGACGGTGAAGGAAGCCTCTGGGCGACACTGGGCTGCAGGCCTGGAGAGCAGGGCTAGGAGGGGTCGGAAAGGTAGGAATGGATGTCTCCAAGGTGGGGCAGGGAAGGGACAGAGTTTTCAGGCTGCAGGAGTTTAGGGATGAACTAAGCAAATAAATAGCCTGTTAACAGCTTTAGAGAAAAAAAGTTTCTGCAAGAAAAGAAGGGTAAATTTAGACATACATAATTAGAATTGGTGGGTCCTTCCAAGTGACCTGGAAAATCATTTTCCTCTTCACACCCAAGTTTTGAGCAACTGGATAAATGAAACTATGGGAATCAGATGAAGGACAGAATATCACCTTTTCTTCTTTTGTACTGAAGGCTAATTTGGCTAATGTAGTTTAGTTATGAGAGCCAAATAGGCTTTGAACATGAGAATTAGGCAGACTTTCCAACCCAGCCAGGGCAGCGCTCCAGGGAAAGCTTGCTCCTTGGTAACAAAGAGCATCCAGCCTGACAGGAGAAAGGGCTGATTCAAACTTACCACCCAGATTAAAAGAAGCAAATGAATAAATGAGTAACAGGGCAGAGAGAACACAGGAATATGCAAGGGAAAGCCCACCTCATGGAAGAAAACATCAGGAGTGGAAACAGGCCTCCCTCCTGACTTAATGCCAATGTGAGGAGTGATTTCAACAGAAATTATAATACATCGATATTAGGGGGGTTAGGAGATGCAGGTATTTATGATGGTGGCGACAGAAGAGAGCTAAATCCCCAGCCTCAGCACAGAAATTCAATACATAGCATTAAAATGGAAAGTCAAGAAATGACAGTAAAACCTATTATGTGTTAATAAGTAACCAAAGAAATAGCTACAAATAGCTCTAAGAGTTGAGCCTGGCAGACTAGGGGAGAAAAGTCTGGGGTGGGAGATACAGAGCAGAGAACTCCTGCCCTTTCCTTATAAAGACTTGTTTGTACTATTGTCAGACTTTTAAGGCTTTGGGTTGGGTTGAGTCACATAAAACTGCCAATATTTGACAATTTATGGCCTAAAAAGCTCGGCAACTCCATGCGTTCATATGGTTCAATCTTAACTTTTAACAGAAGTTTAATTTCAAAAATCTTTTTCATGAAAGGAAAAGAAGTGCAATTGCCAGACAACTTCTCTGGCCCTTCTCTCCAGCCCGGGTGGTGTGCCTCCCTGGGCCCCCGCGTGCCTGTGCTAATGTATACTTGTACCTACCTGGGGTTTCCACAGCCTTGCAACCCTCCCTGGCCCTGTCTCCCCGCTTACTGGCCTGACAACATTGAGAAGAGGGTTCTATTTTTCAGGGTGCCCCACACAGCAGCAGGCACAGAGTAGGACCCCAGGCTTTGCTAAATGGCATTGCTTGTGTCAACAACCCTTGCTGGGAGCTTGGATTGGCTACTTCCTTTCCAAGGTGTGTATAATAACCCTTTAGTAGTCGATTTTAAGATTTTACCCAGCCAGGCCAGGAGCGGCTCAGCGGCTGAGCATCGACCTAGGATCTAGGTGACCAGGGTTCGATTCCCAGTCAGGGCACATGCCCGGGTTGTGGGCTAGATTAATGACTCATCAATGATGTTTCTATCTCTCTCTCTCCCTCTTCTTTCCTCTCTCTGAAATCAATAAAGATATATTTTAAAAAAAAGAAAAAAAGATTTTACCCAGAATCACATGAAGCTCACTACTTTGCCATTTGTAGAATCTGTTATAATCTCCCTTTTTCCAAGAAAAAAAAAAAATTTTAGAAACAGAAAACCCATTTTCCCATGCCTGGATCCCCAGCTGCTGGCTGTGGTCCACATTACCCAAGTTCTCTCTGAAGCTGAGGTGTTATCTGTCTGCACCCGGAGACCTCACCTCCCTTAGGAGCTCTGGTAGGTGAGTGATTGAGTAGCTCAGCTCTCAGGCTGCAGATCGGAGGGCCAGAGTACAAATTGTGCCCTTTCTCTTCCTCTAATTACATGAAACTTAAACAAATAGCTGCACCTCTCTAAGTCTAAGACTCCTAATATCTATATACGATAGTGTCTAAAACCAGAGTCGTTGTACAAATTAAATAAGATGATGCAGGTAAATCATTGAATACAGAAGCCTTCCAATGTGCTACTGTTACTCTCCGACATGGTTTTCTCCAGCCTGGACTTCCATTTCCCTTTCATTAATATTTGTTCTATGCTTTTCAATCCACTGGTCATTCTTTGTTGCAAAAAAATGAAGGTGAACAGAAGTGGAGGAACTCTGATTTTTTTTGTATTATTGGTCGGCACATAAAAATCTTCCCAAGGAGCAGGGCTCATCCCTCCCCTACTCCTTGTGGGACTTACGCTGAATATAATTTTATGGGTTTTGCTGCCCTAAGCGTTTCTCACAAGCTCATGGGAATTAAAGCCTGCATAATACTGTTCTCACACGCCTTGCCTCTTCTGGCTGCCTCCAAGCATTCATTTCTATCTTCTGTAAGTGTTCTTTTGAAATCAGAGCTCATCAGAGAGCTCCTGTAGTAGCCACCCTGGTTTCCCGAAGCACCCATTTAATTACCCCTCGCTGGGTGGATCTGTATTTGCACAGTCCAAGCACCCTGGTTTTGACAGCTCCCCATCTCTCACTCATGACCTTCCCTCCAAGTACCTACTTTACTCTGAACTCTAAAGCACCGAGGTTTGACTCACCAGGCCCAGCTTTCCTCCCTGGCTGCACTGGGAATACCATGGGCACTTCTCACAAGGTTCTTCTCACTCGTGTTTAGAATTAGATCTAAAGCAGCAGTTCTGCTGGTTACTTTCTAAATAAGTAGGAAAATAACCGATAATCAGAAAAACCCTCCTCGTGTGAAGGTGGCCATGGAGACGTCTAGTGCGAAAGAGTTAGCCCCGGTTTCCACTGGAAGAAGCAATTCTAACGATGGAACTGCCTGACATTCTGTAGCCAGCAAGAAGGACGGTGATTTGGGCCCTGGATAACTTCTCCACACCCCTTAAATCATGTTTCTCCAGCCTGGCCGGGCGGGGCTCAGGGGTTGAGCATCGACCTAGGATCCAGGAGATGCCGGTTCGATTCTCGGTCAGGGCACATGCCCAGGTTGCAGCTCAATCCCTGGTTGGTCGGGGGGAGTGCAGGAGGCAGCCGATCAATGACTCTCTCATCATTGACATTTCTCTCTCTCTCTCTCTCTCTCTCTCTCTCTCTCTCCCTCTCCCTTCTTCTCTCTGAAATCAATGAAGATATATTTTTTTAAAAATCATGTTTCTCCAAATAGCCACTTCATCTAAGTGAGGGTCACCTGGCGATGAGAGGCCACATCCTCTGCCATTACCTAGCTGGGGAGCCTGGGTGAATCCCTTCTCCTCTCTCAGCCTATTTCTCATCTGCAACGTGAGGGTGTTGAATGATATCAAAGGTCTCATCTGTATGTATGAAAGTTTGGGGATTTTCAGTATAGACTAAGGGTTTCCCCTGCTATCTAATGTTGGATCCTAATGTCAAAACAAAATATTATATCAAAGAAGCACATTAGAATTCAAATAAATTTTTCAAGTATTAAGCAAAATGTAAACTTCCCATTTCTTTTCAGGTTTTCTTTTTCTTTAGTATATTTATCAAGTTCTCTTTCTCTAAGTGTTCATTCCCAGGACGTCTGGTTTTTTAACCTGTTGTTCTGTTTCCCCAGTAGGTGGCACTCCATTACAACTTTCAATTACTACCTTGTGCCTGCAAAGTACACAGTCCAGAAAATAAGCATAAAGACAATGCGGGGAGCATTTGCTTAGCAAACACAGATAAATAAGAAAACTTTACATTAATCATGCACCTAAAAATTCATTGATTTTTCTAAATTTTAAACAATTAAGTTCTAGATATAAAGTGTCGAAAGTAATTAGAATGTTTTGATATAGACATATCAGACATCTATGTTCAAATTGAGTGCTACCCTTCAAAATGATGAAACTTTGAGATTATGGGTGATCCAAATGATGCTGCCACATTGGTATTTAAAAAACATTTAGAAAATCATTTTCTGGAACATTCTTCCAGGATCGATTTCTTGCCTACATGAGAAAAACAACTTCAGTGCCTCCTTTTTGACAGTCCCTCCCCAACAGCATCATCTTCCTGGATAATCCTCACATTCAAGAATTGTTTGGGGTTTTTTTTCTCCTTGGGAAGGCTATTTTCAAATATTTCACACAACTAAATTTGACCATCCACTTTTAATTACTTTGGAAAGAACAGAACTCAGAGATGCTTTACCATATTTCAGCCCACGTGTTCTGTCTCCCAGCTGGTTGCTTTTGCCATGGTGGGTAGAGCATGGCCCATATTGTAGGGAGATTTATTCTGGTATACCAGCAAGCTAAGGAGCCAGTAATAAAGGAGATGGAGAAGGCCTCTAGCATTGGGAAACATGAGCTTTTACAAATTTGAATTTAGCTTCTGAGAAAGGTTAAGATAAGCAAAGATCTTACCAGCCTCAGGTCATGAAGAACTAGTCCCTGCTTCAAGCCTGGAAATAGATGAAGAACCTCAGTCCTACCCATATAGGTCTTACCAGGCCTGGTCCTGCTGCCCTTAGCCCAGATGCAGGGCCTGGGACAGGACTGGCTGCTTGATACCCTTGGAGCTAGAACCATCCCCATTCCTTACCTGAATGCATTCTTGTTCTAGTGGAAGTGATGACCTGTGTTTTGGATTATATTCTAAAACCATGGGGCTGAGTTAATCCTGGAGATCAATTGCATGATCTTCTAGACTTCTTGTAATATAACCATTGGTTCCTGGCTGCTTAATCCAGTTTATGTTGGGTTTTCTGTGACTTGCTCCGTTAGCTTCCCCCGGTGGTGGAAGCTTCACCCACAGGCCACCGCACAAATCAGTAACTGAAGCTTTGCTGGTTTATTGTCACTGTTTAGGAGCATCCTAAGGACATAATGATACAGGTTTCAGTTAAGTGGTGGAGAAACGATGCCATCTGGCTATCAAGTTAGGGTTCCTTGGACAAGTTGTTCACTAACTCTGAATAGCTTTCATTTTAACCTTCAATATGCTTTCTCCATGGGAACTTGCAAATAAGGTGACAATTCTGTCAACAGCCTATATTTCTATGGTGCTACTTAAGTTTTCCTTGTTCCTAATATTTGTTAGGTATTTACTATGTGCTGATCCCTGTTCTAAGCACTTTTCTTATATTAACTTATTGAATCCTTAAATCAATCCTACAAGGTTGGTATGATTTTTATCTCCAGTTTTTAGAAGAAAAGATTGTCATACATTGTTTCATATGCCACCAGCAAGAGAAAACAGCATTTATTCACCTCTCAGATTCATCCACACAAGTTTGTGACTTAAATGAGCTGCTGAGTCCATAATGAGGCATCAGGCTTATGGCAGTGGCCCTGGCAGGTCTTGTTGCAGGAGCTGTGGAGCCCAAGGGGAGGTGTTTGGCTTGTGGGGGACGCTATCACCAAACTTAGCTCAGAAATGTCAAACGGGGTTTTCAAGAGGCTAATCAGTAACACCCAGATAAGGGCCAGCTTCCAAACAGACAGGAACAGAGAAGAGAAAGGATCTAGATATGCACATGACATCTGAGATGGGCCAGCACTGTGGTCTTCCAGTAGGGGAACCAACTGGCCCAGTCCGTCTGGAATGGAGGGGTTTCCCAGCGTGTGAAACTTTCAGTGCAAACACCGGGAGGTTTCCAGGAAAACCAGGACAAGTCACTTTATCTTCCGGAGAAATTCAGTTCTACTTCAAACTACCTGAGACTCCAGGGGTCTCCTGTCTCACCTCCGAGTTCACAAGACTCCTAACTTCACTGGTTCCCTTCTCCCTCCAGTATTCAGACAGGGACAGGGTCTATGTATCAAGCTCTATGTCACTTTCTGGGGACTTTCTCAGTTGGTTTTAGGACAAAGAAAGGAAAGCCCTGCTTCATGCAAACAATAATGCACTTGTGGAACTTATTATCTCCAAAAATAGAACTGATAGAAAACAAATTTTTTTTAAGTTTGGATGTGAAGGAAGGAGTTCAGAACATACTACCCAAGATATGACACTTTAGCATATTGGTTATTTTGAGGCACTTGAAAAACAGTAGATGCAAGAAAGGGGCTCTGATCTTCCATTTTTTTTCTTTTTTCCCCTGAAAGCAGGGGATAAAATTCCCATGTGAAAGGTACCTGCCTTGTACAAGGAGGAAGAAATATTCTCATCACCAGAGATGTGGAGTCAAGGCTGAAAGAAATCTGTATAAACAAACCTTGTGAAAATAACTCTTATCTTCCTTTATTCTCCCCATATATTTTAGTTACTTTTCCACAATTCCCACTATTTGTTCAACCTAGTATATATGCGCTTAGGCCTAGTTACTTCTTGGGGTCTTCATTTTTATGTGTGAGAGCTCCCATGTACATGTAAATAAAATTCATGCTTTTCTCCTGTTAACCCACCTATATTAGTCTAAGCTGGAGACCCCAGAGGAGTGGAGGAAAATTTTACTTCCTCTATGGGTAAACTAATGAAATTCAGATCCCTAAAAGATTGGGAACATTAAGATGGGTGTAAGGAAAGGAAGTGACATCACCCTTTGGGTGTCCCTCTGGCCTCTATTAACCAATAAAATGGTAGCCCAGGTGGACCATGGGTCTGAGTTAGTGTAGCAATTCTATATACAGCAATGTTTATGGGTGTTTTAGGGAGAAAACAAGAAACAAATAACCTTGACTAAAGTAAATATATAACTGAAAGGATTTTTTAAAAAGAAAAAGAATTTGATAGAACCAAGTTATTTTATTTACCCTTTCTTACATTTTGCCAAATGTAAAATACAAAAACCAAGAAGAAAGATAATTCCAGTTCTTAATTTTTTAAAATCCCCTTCTTATACCTTAATTTGTTAAACTTCAAATGACAGACCTTCCTGAGTGGGTAGGCACATAAAATCGTGCAGGAGAAGGGACCTGCCAAGGACTTGCCTCCTGGAGAGACATCCCTGGTTGTTTAGTAAACCCTGCCATCCAAGCCCACCCAGCTACAGTTCCAGACAATTGTCCTGAACTCTGAGCATTTCCAGCTTGCCATGATTAAACCCATCTTCTCCTCACTCTTGACTTTTGGCTCTGAACTCTGCATGTAATCTCTGCTGTTAGCCCCTGTAGACATAATGTTTAAACATCTTCTCCAATTATCAAGAGTTTAGCTACACACTTTGTTTGGCTTGTCCTTTGGGTTCCTGTGGTCCTCTGTGGGATCTAATAGAAAATCACATCCTTAGCTTTGACCCCTCATAACCTACTCCAGTACTCAGTTACTCAGCTGGGAGTCAGGCCTGAGACTCAGATGATACTGAATCTGGTACTAACTGCTCAACCCAGTGGGCCTCAATATTTTCAGATTAAAGTAAGGGTTATCCCTGCCCACCTCTTAAGGTGTTTGGACTCCTCAGAACAACTTCATAAACCATGAGGAAGAGTGTTATGATCTTAAGAGCCTCTTTCTTTACAACATTGCCCTTGACTGTGTTTAAAAATAGGCCCCATGATTTCCTACTTAAAAAAAAAAGACTATGCTGACTCAGACAAGCAAAGCAATTAGAAGGATGTAAGTAAATACTTTAAACTGTTAAAAAGAAAAGTACTGTATAAAACTGATGCCCAGACTTGATTTGTATTCATGTCTCCAGCCTAGAACCAATCAGTAGTGCTGCATTAGGACACCTCCAGGAAACCCCATTTGATATAATAAAATAATGACCATCATTATTACTCCAGGAGAGAAGACACACATAGTGGAGACATCACTGCCTCCAGAAAATTGCTAAACAGGATTAATAAAAGTGATCCAGGCATTTCCAGATTTCTAGTATCAATGAAATCATGTCTCTGCTCAAGACTTTCTCTAGAAGTATCTGAGTCAGCTCCTGGTATCCTAGAGGTCTGGTTTTGTACTAGTTTTCAGATTCCCCAGGTTCAGACATATGTTTCCTGGTGGGAAGGGTCCTCATCCAAGCAATGAGACGAGCTTTCTGATTAAACACCCTTCATATCCCCTGCCTCCCTATATCTCTCTGGGATAAACCTATTCAGTCTTTTTAAAATAAAACACATCTGCTTAACCCTGCCCCAAAGAAACTTCTACTACCCTGTTTCTTTTAATAGCCACACGATCTGCTAGCACTGAACAGCAGAGACTAAATAGAAGAAATCTCTCCTCACTGTTGCTTTATCCATTTGACATGTGTGAATCTGTGATCTCAGCTTTCCTGGTGCCCAGTGACTAATTGAGTTTGAGACAGTGGCTGTCAAATGCTGGAAAAGGAATGATTTATGCTAAAGATATTTTTGGTCTCTGATATGCCTAGCGTCAAAGGGAATAAAAGAAGTCGTTACTGTGTCAGGATGGTGACAATAGGCAGGACCTAACAATGGAATTACCCTCCTACAACTAGCCAGTCTATTAACTGAATGCATCAAGTTTCCATCTCTGCTTCCACCCTTTGCTCCTGGGGAGGTGATCCTACAGATTTTTATTTGCATTTATTTCAGCTCTGACATTTATCCCACTCCCAGTTATCCTTCCTTGAGATCTTATTGAAGCTGCCACTAGGAACCATGGATATAAGCGATGGCCTCAGTAAAGAACCAGCTGCTGAGCCCAGCCCAGCGGATGATATATGCTCCGGCCCGGCCCTCTCTCAGAAACAGCGACTCAGAAATGTCCGGTTACCTATGGAGGAAACTCATTTCCTGCCTGTAATCTGATTACCACTCTCTCACTTGGGACTGTAAACTGGCTTTATAATACTACCCTCCAGGGGAGGGGGTGGAGAGGGCGATGGAACTGATTTTTAATTGTTTTAACATGCACAGGGTGCACAAGTGAGAACTGAAACGCCAATCTGTGAGCTTTAGAAATACTAATAACATTGAAATGCTGAATTCTGGTGACTATATATTTATCTGTTTTATCACAGGGCTAATTTCATTAGCTTGCCAGGTCTGAAAGACAGGCATGGATCACGATGCTAAGAGACTCTGACTTTCTGTGTCATTGTTTCACTGCATCTTCTGCTGCCCCTGGGACTTGTCTCTCATGGATCCAGGAACAGAGAGTGATACTGCAATCTCCTCCAAGCTCTACTGTCCCTATGCCACCAGTGCTGCCCCAGGTAACACTGTCAGAGCACCCTCCAGCCGCCCGCTCTCCAGCCCCTCAGATGGGCCCCGAGGACACGACTCTCTCCACCTCCCACCCTGGATGGCGCTCACAGCCCCAAACATTGACTCCTACAAGGTTTTCTGAGAACATGTTAGCTGTGTCTTTGATGATGTACATGGAAATGGAAGCAAAATACCCCCAAGGGTGTAGATACCCAGGAGTGGGGAATTCAAAGGACAGGTGTTCACATCTCAGGGCAACGGAGGGAAATAGCTTCCATCCCACTCCCCCTTCTTTCACGTTCTACCCCCCTCCCCCGCCAGGTGTCCACTGCCTTCCAGCTGCCTCTGCAGCTCTGCAGCCCCTCTCGGTATCGAGAGATGAAGGTTGCTTCCCTATGAAAGAGGCTCCATTCCTTTCTTTCCCCAACAACCGTGCTCAGGACATCCATCTGCGAGCATCCTGCCGTGATCGAGCTGTGACTCTCAGCCACCCTAGATAGAAGCTCAACTCACACTTAAACCATGAAGGGAATTTACATAGACGGGAAGTTCGAGGGCAATCTAACTCCAGGAATAGATGGATCCAGGGTTCAGGCGATGTCTTTTGAAATCTATTGTTGTTTCTAAGCTCTGCCTTATTGATCTGGGCTTCATTTTAAGGTGCTGCCTCCCTATGGCAGGGAGAACCACCAATAGCTTTAGATTTACTCCACCCTTACGGCTAGTGATCCCAATAATTTGAATTAAAATCCGAGGTGGGCTCTGATTGGCCTCGCTTACTCATGCATCACCCCGAACCCTTCCCCACGGCCAGGTGACTGGCAGCAGGAGAGGGATAGGCGACGTTAAGAAGACTGTGGGGATATAAACTGATGTTGTGTCCCCCCTGGCTTATGCACTACTGTCTGACTTACAGTTTGGGCATCGGTTTAGTGCCCCGCCCCCATACCTTCTCTACCACCCAAAAGCAGGAATGTGACATGATCTAACACCACAATACCACCACCAAATTTCTATTTCTCAAAGTGAACCCTATGGACAGCCCAGGTGCTTGCTTAAATGCTGATTCCTGGGCCCCACCCCAGACCTCTTAAATCAGAATTCGGGGGGAGTGGGGCCTGAGAATCTCTATTTTAACAAAGGCCCCAAGTGATTTTTTTTTTAAGTTTTTTATTTTTTTATTTTTTTATTGATTTCAGACAGAGGAAGGGAGAGGGAGAGAGAGAGAAACACCAATGATGAGAGAGAGTCATTGATCAGCTGCCTCCTGCATGCCCCCCACTGGGGATCAAGCCTGCAACCTGGGCATGTGCTCCAACCAGGAATCGAACTGTGACCCCCTGGTCCACAGGTTGACGCCCAAGCACTGAGCCACGCCGGCCAGGCCCCAAGTGATTCTTATGTACCCTGAAGTGTCAGATCCCCTGCCCAGAACTTGGGGGCCGGGAAATGCCTACCACTTGCTTTGTAGAACTCAAGAGGTCTCTCCAAATGGGTTTTCTCCTCCTCGTTGCCCTCATCCACACATCCTTCCAAAGTACATTAGAAATAACACCTAAGAGGTATTGGGTACCCACTATGTGCCGAGAATATGAAGCACTTACCATGCCTCTTTCTGTCACCTCCACAATCCTGTATGATGAGACCGCCCTCCGACTTTTGTAGGTAAGGACAATGAGGCTGCAAGGGGATCTAAATGTCTCAAGTATCTTACTCTATGTCTCACAAGCCCTAAGTGGCAAAACTGGGATTTGAACCTCCTAAGCCCATTTGTCTGCAGAGCCTGTGCCCTTCGGCGCCCTTGGCATAGTAAATAGGTTTCATCACCCAGTCGCCCCGTCGCTAACAGCTGCCTAGGGCCCGGGGTTCTGAGGCTCAACATCCTGACTCAAGGGAAGGATTGCTGGGATTGATTAGAAACGTCTAGCTGCCATGCAAGCTAGATAGGGGGTGCCAAAACATAGGCCAGATACCTGCTGCCCCTGCACTTTGCTATGGCAACACAGGTGGGGGTAAAGGGTTCCTAATTTTATTGAAGATTATATTTAAATACACACAAATCAGGTGAATGCTCCCAGGAGTCCTAATGATTTCAGATCTGTAGTCCAGCTCCCCTGCTCACTGTAATTTAATTCAAATGCTATTTCAGTGTAGGCAAATACAAGGTGTTTCTAAGAAATGTATACACACTTTAACAGCTGATAGCTCCAGTTTGGAAATGAAATATATGTTAATAAACACTGCCTTCATAATTATCCAAAGTGTGTTTACACATTTTGGGGGACACCCTATAGTTGTGTGACTAAGCCACATCTATAGATGATCCCAAATCATTTTTCTTTGGTTTTAGAGTTCCAGCAGGGATGCGGTGCTTTAAAACTGTCAATAGACTATCTGACATGATTGATAGAGATTCTAGCAAGATTCTGGACAGTACACAAGGATTTAAAGAGGAAAGAGATATTCCATCTTCAGGTAAAACTTGAAAAAGCCAAGCTTTAACTTTCTGAAGGTGACTCTTGATCGTATGAAGGTGTTTTCCACTTCCCTTAGGGCCATGGTTCTCAAACTCCAATGTATGGGAAAATGGACATTAGGAAGTTTGTTTAAAAAGCAGATTTCCAGTTCCCTGCCTTATCCAGATTGCCAAGGACGGAGCTGGGCAATCTGCACTTTACACAGGCACCCCGAGGTCTAAGGACCACACCTGGGAAGCTCTGCCTTAAGCAGTGCTGGAGAAGAGCAGTCCCTGTTTTTTTCCATATGAGGAAACTGTTTCTACTCAAATTATTTCTCAGAAACTCCTTGACAGCTGTTGAGAAAATTCAAGATGGCAAAACAACAACAACGACAACAAAAACAACCCTTCAGTTCATTTTGTAATGATTATAGATGTGTCTTATTTACCACAGTAACGTGTATATAAATGTTTGAAAATGAGCAGGAACTCTGTGTAAGAGACAGAGTTTAATCTGTCCATATGTCATGCTCAGGGCACAGATAGGTTTCAAATCTTTTGTGAATAACTGCAAACCTGTCACCCACCCTTCCTGCAATCGTGGCTGCCCACCTGCCCATGGGGGTCCACAGGCCAAGGTGGGGAACCACTGACTACAGTTTTGATTCCTGCTTTGTCACTTGGCACGTAGAAGGGCCATCACTCACCTGAGTGGGAGGGGAGAAGAAAAGTCACATTCATTGGGGACTTATGTGACAGAAGTGGATCCATATTAGCAGCTTAACATACATATTTTCATTTAAAAGCAGAAGTTCAATTCCTTCTTCCACCATCTGCACCAACAAGCGTAGAAATGCAAATTTGATTAATAAATTCTCATTTTACGGTAAAATCAAATACTCCATCTCTTATGTCTCCATTCTAGTTTTTATGCTTTATGTGGCTAAAACCCACATTTGTAAATGATGTAGAACCAAAAAAAGATGTTGGGCATCTACTGTGAGCCAAGCACTATGCTGAATACCATAAAGACCTTATTAAAAATTAACTTGGGTTGAGTACAGGGGATTCTCATCATTAAAGAGGTGATCATTTGGATATCTTTGGTTGGTACCTATTCTGTTTGCCAAATTCAAAACTCTTATCAAATTTAGAAACTGAGAAATAGGAAGGCAGGATTGTCTTTCCTTAATAAAAAGTTACTGGTTCTGACAGATGTGGCTTAAATAAGATTATGATCCCAATTGCCTTTTGCTTAAACTCACATTCAAATTCACTTGGGTTACCTGAGAAATCCCCAAGTAGACGTGGGAGATACTGGTCTCCAATTCAAAATTCACAGAGAAAATCTATAAAGCACATGTGGACAATAAAAAACAATGGATATGTGTGTAAGACAAAGAAAGACACCACAGTTATCAGCAACCAAGAAGTAGTTGCCTAGTGTCACTGATCCTCCAGCACTGAGGGACGGACTTGACATCACTGCTTGTTTGCTTGGTTTGTCATAAATGGTAACAGTGAGGACTTGGACTAAAAGCCCTAACTTAATAACACAAGGACAAAAGCACTCAGAAAGCTGGCTCCATCGACTCAGCTCTGATCGTTTCTAGCCAGGCTATGCTTGGATTTAAAACCATCAGGCTCATAGATGATTGAGCCGTAGTTCATTAAGAAATGCTTGGAGAGTGATGAGAAAGGAGAAAATGAGAACTGCTTCACTGGGAGAATTTTTTTAATGCTATTTGTCTTCCTGACACCAAGAAGAAGCACCAGGAGATGGGGCGGCTGCATTGGGTCTGCAGTGACCTTTCACCTCTGCTGCTCTCTGACCCGGCTGTTTCAATCACGCAGAGGCAGAAGCTGGAAGGAAGCTGAACAAGGGGATATTTTAGCGGACAGCTTTTCTTTGTAGTGCGGTGGAAGGGAAAGAAGTTGCGGAGAAAATCTCTCCAGTAAGACACAGTGTGTCTGTGCTTTAGCTGACAAAGGGTTAACAGGACATCGGGCCCAGCTTCCTGCTCAGCAGTTAAATTGCTGCAGGCCAAGGAAACATTTGAGGGAGAGAGGACTGTGACTGGGGCCCTCATTTTTCAAAGAACTGTCAGAAGGCTAGTCTGCTGAATGGGTTTGATACAGAAACCAAGAATTGGGCCTGTTTCCCAAATTCAAAGGACTGGGCCCCTATTGACTTGTCCCTGGCAGGAATTCTGTAGTCACTGGCCTCTGTGGTCCTTTCATCTGCTAAAAGATTGTTTCCCAGAAGAGGGGTATAGCACAAAGAGGGGTAGGCACAGAGTGTGTGTGTGTGTGTGTGTGTGTGTGTGTGTGTATGATTTCAAAGCAGGGTTCCCAAAATTGAACAGGTGTCAGAATCACTTGGAGGGCTTCATTCAGTTGATCTGGGTGGAGCCCAGAATTTGCATTTCTAACAATTCCTAGGTGATGCTGCTGCTGGTGGCCTTAGGACCACTGGTGTGAGAAACACTGTTCTGAAATATACTTCCCAAGTCTTCTTTCTGCCTCAATAATTACACTCACTCATGCACATACCAGCATAATAAATGCTGCATGTTATGTTATAAAATATCAATTATTATTACTATTATTATTATTAGTGGCTAATTTGAGTAGCAACTGTGGGCCAGTGTTAATCTTCCAAGGTAGATATTGCTCATTTTACCAGTTAAGGCCTGATCCAGCCCAAATCTCACCCCTAAACGTCACTACATTAACACTACTCTCTTAACAAGTAATAAAACATGAGTCAAAATTAACCAACCTACAAGCATTTTTAATCGATGTCTTTTCTATATTCTAATAGAAGATAGACTAACTCTAAGTGGAAGAATATAAACTTTCTTTTTCCATATGTAACTTAGAGCCAAAAGGAGGAATATCTGAAGAATACCGCAGAGTCAGCCGGCCCAGAGGTGTGCGCTGAGTTCTTAGATGGTGAGGGCCACAGGACAAGCCAGCTTTCCAACCCACAGCACCTGAAACAATAAGGAGAGAGTGTGAGGTTAGTGTAAATGTCAGACATGAGTGCCACAAGGTTTTTCTTTTTTGCCTTGGCAAATAGTAGTAAGTGCAAAAGATCATGTGGCACCAAAACAATGTCTTAGAGCCGTGGTTTTCAAGCTCTGCCCAGCATAAGAGTCACCTGGAGGCCTGCAGAAACACTCGTGGCTGCCTCCCAGTTTCCGATGTAGCAGGACTGGTGTCAAGCCAAGGAATTTGCACTTCTCAGAACTTCTCAAGCAATGCAGAAGCTGCTGGTCCAGGGACCACACTTTCAGAACCATTGTTTCAGAACAAGCCTTCCTGGACTCGGACCCATCTTCATTCACTGATTCAGGAGACACTGCCGTAGTGCTTGGTCTGTGAAGCTCCTCTCCGTCTCTGAGGATAAAGCTGCAACCCAAGCTGACAAAAAGCTCTGCCCTCGCAGAGTTCACTGTTTAGGAGGAAAAACTGACCAGAAATAGTAAATCCATAATGTAAGAAGAAAGACCTAATGACAAAAGCGGACAGATGGAGGGCTTCTATGTTAGCAGTGTCTTCACCTCTCGAGATAATATCCATCAGAGCAGAAACCTGAAGGTGGTAAAGCAAGGCAGTGTGGATATCTGTGAAGAGAGTTCCGAAGAGAAAGCCCAAAGGCCCTGAGGCAGGAATGTGCTCAGTGTGATCAAAAAAGGAGACTAGTGGCAATAGGGGAGTGTGCAAGAAGGAGACTGAAGAGACGAGACTCAAGTTTAATAGGAATCTGCACTTTTAAAGAGCTCCCAGAGCCTAATTAATAGGCGCCCAGGTTTGGAAATAACTTCTCAGGTGCACCCATTTCTACAGCTCACCCAGCTTTCCTCAACTCTCATCAGCACTGTTTGGTGCGTGGTCTGAGAGCAGACCCCCTTCGGAGGACGGCGCACAGAATGCACCCTCCTAGCGCGAGGCTTATTGAGCAGGCCCGGGACTGAGCTTTACATGACTTGTATCCAAAGAAATAGCTTCTCTCTCTCAAACAAGAGTCTGAGCCAGCCTTACGTACTGAGTGTGGAAATGGAGGGGAAGGGCTGGACCCGAAGAGGACGGAGCAGCTCTTGGCGACAGACAGGGTGTGGCGGGCAAAGGGGGGAAGAAGGGCTGTGCATGGCTGACAGTGGGGATTTGGAGAAGGAACGGAACTCACAGAGGACGACCATGAATCTGATTTTACATGTCGATGTGAATCAAATAAAAGTGTGCGTGTGCGTGTGTGCGTGTGCACGTGTGGGGGTGAAGGCGAGACGAGACTTGGAACAAAGGTCATGGCTGTACACAAACAGGTGACAAATGAAGCCCCAAATTAAATAAGTTCCCTGCAGAAGTAAATGTGGGGGTGGAGAAGGGAAAAGGGAAGGCCGGGACTAAGCCCTGGTGGGGAGGGATGACCGGGTGAGAGAAGAGATATGGGATCAACGGCAGAGTACAGGCCCGCTGCCCCAAATCACCGCTCTGACTGAGCTGCAGCAAACGGAGTGGGCGAAGGCCAGGCCCCGTCCTTCCAGCACAGAGGTGTGCGACCAGCTGGCTTTCTGGAAGGGGCCTCCCATTATGCAGAACACTTTATCCCACAAACAAGTCAGACTCAATTATTTTATATCAAAACAATACCTTAGCTTTTAACGAGCGCAACTGCCAATACCCAGAGTCACGCATTATAAATCACTATTTGCTCCTTCCTACACTTTCTAATTTCATGCTAAGGAGACAGGGCTGAATGGGGTCATTAATCTGAATTAGAAATACTGTGACCGGCTCTGCACTCGGCTTGCTAACATTGTGTGGCCGAGCTGGATCTGTGGGGGTTTTACTTTCCATACGGTTCTGAGGAAGAGGTGGGGAGGGGGGAGACTGAGCTAGTTTTGACTTTTAAGCCCTTTTTAATTGCAGGCGCCATTTGGGCATCTCACATTGGGCTTTGAAATCATTGCTATTATTTTGGTGGTCAAATGACAAGCTTTGCTCAGACTCTGTCTGGAACTCGAGAAGGCTCACCTAAGCAGCCTAAAATAATTTTCCCCTTTATGAGAAAAGGGGGACTTTTATATTTTTCTGGTGGAAGTGGCATGACTCATGGATGTTTCACTGGTGATGCCAGGGAGGGAAGGCTCTGAATGAAGCAGGAGCGTCTGTAGAGCAGCGAGTCCAGGAAGCCCCTCACCACTGCCTGCTTGCTTCAGAGGACATACAGTGAATGGTCCTTGGAAAAATGTAACTGCAAAGCCATCAGTCACAGCTTTCAGATATTTATTTCACTTGCATTAACTACTTACTGTGTGGGCTGGGAAAATAGACAGAAAATTCAAGTTTATTAATTTACCTTCTTCAGGATTCTGGTAAGAATTTGGATGGAACTGCTGGAGCTGCCAGGAGTCAGGAGTTATGTGAAGATTCAGAGGTACACCAGCCTCTGAAACAGAGGCACAGATTCTAGCAGACACCTAGTGCAGCAACCTTCGAGCAAAAGGCGCCTTTCTTGACTCACCCCATCCTGCCCGGATCCCTGACGGTCACAGTTATTACTTCTAACAATATTGCTAGTGGAAACACACTAGAAATAAAAGTGGGTTCCAAAAGGGTTGGATAAATTTCCAGCAGGCAAGTCTGTTAGGATGTGTCTGCAGGTGCATCTTACCCTTCTGAAGTCATCAAGGAGAGCATCTACATTCCCCCAAGTCACATCCAGGTGTCTCTCCGAGACCCAGAGAGCGGAAGGAACTGTAGGTCTGAGCTATCTGCTGGGCCCCACCACACCATTCCGGAGCCTTGGAAGCTGGGAGGATGGGATCCTCAATCTTCCTTGCAGATTGTGCTTGAAAAATGTTCCCTGACTCATCTCCTGACCCCTACACTCCCTTCCATGGTCCTGGATAGTTACGTGGTGGAAACAGTCCCAACTGCCACCTTGCTCAGAACCTCTCAAGCTGGCCAGCATCCCACGACCCCTTCCACCTGCCCCACCTCCTCCTGGGAAACCCAGAGGTGACTGTAGTCAACTTGCTTCGGAGTCTTGGTTGGGCTTTGGGGGTTTTGTTGCTGCTCGAGAGCTATGGAAAACTCGAGTAATTTTCTGGGATCACAACCCCAGGGTCCCCTGTCAGTGTAATTGTAAGTCAATCACTCTCCCTCCAACTCTGGTTCCTCTTCCCTTTGGGCAGGTAAAATCATTACCATAGCTCCTTTCTCCGCTAGTCAGGCGTTTGCACAGGCCATTTACCTCACATCTCATGAATCTTCTCAAATGAATGTTGGGGG